AAACCTGATTCTAACGAGATTAACCGAAAAAAAAAACGGAAAATGTGAAATTAGTTTCTACATATTCTCTTCTATCACAATGTATTATACGTCATTGGAAAGAGCACTCACAAAACGCAACAAAATGGTGTATTTAAAGATCCACTACCACCTGTTTTTCATGTCAATCTAAACATTTTGGGAAATATGACACACTTTTCTTTTTTAATGATTTAGATTGAAAACACAGTTGGTTTTTTTCCGAGTTAATCTCGTGAGAATCAGATTTTTGAGGTGAAAGCCAGCTTTGGGAACAGAACTTCGTTTTTAGAAACAGATAGAGTGTAAAATTTTCTATCGACTAGTCTTTTTTTATCGTTTTAGAGCAAATTTCTTGATTAGGAATTGCAAAATACTGGAAACTACTAAAACTTATTTTCACTTGAAATAGAATAATTTTAATGATGAAAAATCTATATAGACAGATGGAGTCTATTCCAACACTATATCATGTAGTTGGCCTATCTTACTATCTATATTGCCACTTGAATCACATCAATACCTCTTCATGTGAAAGAAAAATTGAAAAAGCAAGTGTGTAAAAAAAAAAAGAAGGAAGCGAAAGAAACAAATTCCCTTAAACTTTTGTCGCCGACTATTGTTGTAGATACGTATAATATAAAAACTATGATATTTTATTCATAGATAGAAGCGAAGAAGAATGCATTGCATATGTGTCGCTTTAAAAAAGAAAAGAAAAATACTTATACATTAAGGTTTCATTCATGTATAAAACACATAGACAATATACAATGCATTCGTTACATATATTATTGTCTGTTTCTCACTAAAAATAGGTCGTAAATAAAGGTATTATGACGTAACCTTTTTTTAAAAACTTTTCGGTCTTATGAAGATAATTGAAATGGAAAAAAAGAACGTTTTCAATGACACTTATTATGGGCAGAGTTAAAATTACATTTGGCGAAATAACAAGAACATTTTTTTGTTTTTATCATTTTTTGTTACTCTCGGTACCAGCAATATCATCATCTTCTTTAGTAAACATTAGTGATTAAAAAATAAATGAAGACGAGAAAAGTTATCTTTTTATTATAAAATGTTTTCTATAAGTTTTTTTAAAAATCTTCATAATTACTTAACAACAAAGAATAATATACAATTAACTGACTAGGGAACCGCCCGAGGTATCCAACGCCGATTCCATTCATTCATAGACCGTTTGATAGAGGGCATCGAGATAGTAGAAAATCTAAAACGATTTGTGCTAATGGCTCTTTCTGGAAACGTTAGGGTCAATTTTCTGTTCTTTCCAGCTAACATGGCCAAAAATTGAAAACATTACAACTCAGGCAAGAAAAATCGTATACATTTGAAATTTTCAGCACTACAAGCTCACACGCACTGCTGATCAATCGGAAAATTTTAGATTGTTTGGTCGTTTCGTTCCTGACTTACAGGATTTTTGCTTTGCATGAAAAATTACACTCCTGCAGTTGACTATAGTGCTGTCTTTTTTTCGTTTTTAGATAATTATATCTCGTCTGTTTTTATTTCCATCCTTTGTTAAATGGTTATTAACATTTGATGATAGGGAATATATGATATTATTCAATTGTCTTTGTTTTGCAAATGAACGACAAGTCTTGAGAGTAACTACATTGGTTATGATGAACGGTATAAAGCATTACAATCAGCTAATATAATCTATCACTCTAAACAATCTAAAATTTTCAGATTGATCAGCAGTATGTATGAGCTTGTAGTGCTGAAAATTTCATGTGTATACGATCTTGCTTGACTGAGTTGTAATGTTTTCAATTTTTGGCCATATTAGCTGAGAAGAACAGAAAATGGACCCTGACTTATCAAGAAAGAGCCATCAGCACAAATCCTTTTAGACTTTTTACTATCTTGATGCCCTCTATCAAACGGCCTATGAATGAAGGGAATCGGCGTTGGACACATCTGACAGTTTCCTCGTAAGTATGGAGATTTCTTGACGAAGTGGTTGCTGTTTAAAACGTTCCAGTCACGCTTGTCACTATTCTACGTAATTCTTATTCAGTCAATAATGTTTCAAATATTGAAAAATTTCCTATCTTCGATTCCATTCTTGTCACTAATATATTTTTTTCGTTATTCTCTCTAGAAATCTTATGTCTTTCAAGATATTTTGAATCTTTATTTTTCAATTCACCTTATTGTCATATCAATTCACTACCAGTACATGATTCATTCGGTATAATGTTTGTCTACGAAAAAAAAAATCAACAATCAACATTAATTCAGAAAAAATCAAAACAATCTTTTGTTCAAGTGTACAACATTACAGTGAATAAAATTTTTGTTGATATCATCACCGTTGTGCAACAGTTAACATTACGAAAAATAATCATTCGCCTATGAACAACAAAAAATGGACTAAACATATTTATTAATATGCTATGTCAATGTGGTATAAGCATTTATTTTCTTTTCAGTAAGCATCTTTAACATTAATCTAACTAGTCATCATTATGTGTTGGTAGGTCATTGATTGATTTTCATATAATACTCGCATAACAATTTTTACATATCATTATTAATATTACCAGTTTCAGTCAATTGTTGTTAATTATCACTTGATGGTTCATACCTAGCTAAATCACAAATATCTAATTAAGAAATAAAATTACAAAAGTAAATGACGAAGAGTTTCATTTCCCAACATTCATGACTCAGAATTGACTCTTTATTAAATTTATTCATTCCAATAAATGTAATATAAAATCCAGCATGATGTGATCTGGATAATGTTCAATTAAGATTTGCTTCTTTTTTTTTATCGTGAACGATTAGCTAAACCATAGATAATTCTATCCTCAATTTCTTTGCACATCAAATACAAGTATTTAAATATAAGATTTTTAATCACTGTTGCATGATCATTTAGCATACGATGAAGATTTTTATGGATTTTCACATATTTTCGTTGAATAAATACATCAAGATTAATTTTATAACAAAATTTAAACAATGATATCCAATATGGAATAATATTCATCTCATTAAATAAAAATAAGTCTTTAATAAACTCCATTTTATCTTTAAGAAATAGACCTATTTCTTTGCTTATAGCTAAGACAACTGTAAATACAAGTGATTATAGATAATGAATCAGAGAGAATCAAGCAATCAATCGAAAACGTTTATTTAAATTTATATTTATATACATTAATAGAGTTTTCTTACTGATGAATTTCGCAATGACTGCTTCACATTTTCGTTATAACTTTGATCATTTAATTGGTCGAAACGTAACTTTTACGATTTACAGCAGCAAAAACGAAGCCCTGGTTCTGTTATAGCATGATTATCTTTTGCAGAAAAATGTTTCATATGCAATCGTCCGAATAATTATTCATTTGTTAGAAAATATCGATTTATCCATCAATCGATATTTGAAGCTTCGCACCGCATTTTGTAGTCGAATAAAACTCAAATGCCATCTAAGTTTAATATTGGCATTGTATAATTTCCGCAATTTAACAATCAATGTTTAACATAAGTTTAAATAAGTTCTTATATTGTTAGTGCTTTCTTTCGATTTATCAGCTTACCACGAATAAGTTTGTTGCTGAATATTGTCAACAAATAACCGCTAAGTATGATCGTAACAATTAAGCAAAATAGCCGTTTCTATCTTTTACCTATGTAAATATATATAGCAAGATGCAAAAAAAATTATCACTTGACAAACGAATTCCATTGAAGCGTGTTTTCCAAACTTTTAGAACTTTCGCTTGAAGATTTTCATCAGATGTCAGAGGACAGCTATATATATGTAGTGATGATAGCACATCTTCGAAAACGTTGTTAAGTTTGATGAAAATGGCACATTATTCGGTTGCTAATCGTTTACCAATGGATCTATAAGTCATATTAGATTAATAAAGTAAGAGTAATTGAAACGCGGCCGAAATTTCTCATGTAGCTCTCTGTCTCTACTATCCGAAATAAAATTATCAAGGACCAAGAACTGGAATTTTGTGAAGCAGCTGCATTAACAAACCAAATCCTGAGCAATAAATGCACGAAATCATGAACAGACTATAGATTAGCCTGGGTTTCAAACCCATTGAAAACTTATGACTAGTTGTTTAGCCATATTTTTAAAAGCAGATACCGGTAAATTTCAATGAATTGTAGAGAGTTTTGTATGAAGAACTTATATATAAACTTCCTATGGTTTTATTCCTCGGAAAACGGCATCTTTTTTTTTATTGATTCAAAAAGAGGATGTATCTTCTATTCAGTGTTGCAATGGTAGACTGTAGTATATGTGTAATCCATCCATAATAAAATTTTTACTATTCATTGTTTCCAGTAGAAAAAATTTTGAAAATTCTAACAGCAATTTTTTTGTCAAATAGCAATTAATTTACTATTGTCTATGACCAGCGGTTAAAAGAAAACAAGCAAAAAAATGGTAGTAGTAGTTTTATCATTTAATAATTTTCTTTTCTTTGTTGCATACTAATATTAAATGTCAATACAACAACCCCTTTGACTCGCGCAAAAAAGAAATCAGAAATATAAAGTTTTGTTGCTAGAAAAATTTCATTTTACTAATTCTATAATGAAAAATACAAATTAAAACTATACTCTAGAAAATCTTCAATATGTCATATAGTTGCAATATGTTTCAGGCAATTGTGAAGGCATAAATATAACCGCAATGGCGGACTATGACGAAAAAAAGTTCCAATGTCATATACTTATTTAACTTAGGCAAGAATGATGAAGCATTTTTCGTTCTATCAGTAACCAATAGAATGAATGGACATATAAATAGAGAGAACAAAGTTAAAAAGAAATACTCTTTTTGTATTGACTAGATAATATAATCACAGTAAAAAGAAATAGAACAAAGTTCACTTTGAGAATAAATAAATCGTTGTTTTATTTATTTGTTTTCCAAATGAAATGGATTCTTTATTCAAAATATCTAATTTTAGATGTCTCATACACTAACACTTAGTTCTTTGAAAACAGCCATTCCACGTATTGGTTATGGTACAGGAACAAAATGGTATTCTGGTGATAATTCAAAACCAATTGATAAAAACCTTGTACAAGCAATTCATGTTGCTCTTTCTGTTGGTTATCGTCATTTAGATGCTGCTGAAATGTATGGAACAGACACATCTATTGGCGAAGCAATACGTACACAATCGATACCACGAAATAAATTATTTATAACATCAAAAGTCTATAGAAATATTGAAAATATTGAACAAGCTTGTTTAGATTCTTTATCACGTTTGGATATAGATTATCTTGATCTTTGGCTTATACATTCACCATATTTTGATCGAAATAAAATTTCACTTGAACAAGCATGGAAACAAATGGAAAAATTATTTGAAAATGGAAAAGTTAAAGCTATTGGTGTTAGTAATTTTCAAAAAAATCATTTAGAAGAATTATTAGCTTTAAAACCTAAAATAAAACCAGCTGTTAATCAAAGTTAGTTAAAATTAATTATATATATATTTTTTACAATGAAATTTTTTGGATTTATTTAGTTGAATTGCATCCTTATGTATACGAAGCATCACGAGAAGTAATTGAATATTGTAAATCAAATGAAATTGCAATTGAATCATATTCTCCACTTGGATCACTTATTTATAAACCGGGTGGACCTGTTGATGAAGTTGTTGAAAAATTAGCAAAAAAATATAATCGATCACCTGCTCAGATTTTACTCAAATGGAATCTTAAAAAAGGTTTGATTTAGATTATTTTTTATGTGTTTTATTGATTTTTTTTAATACATATATATATACATTATTTAGGTGATATTGCTGTAACAACATCAAGTAAACAAGAACGTCTTGAAGATTTTCTTAATGTACTCGATGAAAATTTTCAATTGAATAATGAAGATATCAAAGCAATTGATGATGCCGGTGCTAAATTACATTTTAGACAATATTGGACTAAAGAAATTGATGGAAACAAATAGGACTTATAAATTTTATTATTATTTATGTTTTATTGGGCTAGAAAATAAAATTTTTTGATTTATATCTATTCGAAATAAACATTTCTTCATATGGATCAAATGACTAATTGTAAAAGAATAACAAATATATCAGTGTCAATAATAAATATCTTTTTGTTGTTTAAGTTTATCTTAAGCATAAATGAACAAAACAATAACTGCTTTTCAAATGTATTATAATTGGGAAAAAAAACATCTGGAATATATAATAATATGACAATAATCTAAATAAATCATACTAATTTATGCAGTCCTCGGAAATAATCACCTTGGATACTCAAATTGCAATTGTTCAAACATGAAAACATTCATAATTTTAGAAACAATCAAACTAATTGATATATTTTTTTTTGTTCTTTATATTGTCATAGTGTCAATTGAATTATGTACGATTGTTTATATGACTAGAGCTAATTTCTATCATCTAGAAAATGAATACTCATCATTTGTTCCTATAGATGGTGCAAACTAAATATTCTAAGGGCAACAATAAATATTTCTAAACGAATAATTATTAAAAAAAAATATTTCAGTTTAGAGTAAAACGACTCTAATGTGAGCATCATCGAGATCAACTAAAAGTGTTCACTTTACCCAAGTGCTTATTAATTGGGATGTTTTCAGGTTTTTTTTTATAACTTATAAATATTCAGTTGTGATTGCATGTCGGCTGCACAACATAATATTTTTCTTCTTTCCACGAGTTAATTTATTCAACTTTTTTAATCAATGGTAAATCAACTCATGTTAACACGATATGTGACTAGCTGTTAATACAAAAAAAACGACGAGATGTTGAACTGAGCATTGTTGCTGTTGTTTAATATCATTACTTTTTCTTTTAAGTATTCACGGCCAGTCCATCGCCTTTCCCTATGTGTTTCATGATTCTCTATCATATTACTATACGCATAGGACATTTTTCTTCTCCCACTGCACGTGAGCGATAGAATATATGTTGCTCATATTACAAACATTGTTATTGCTCATAGGACCGGAGAGAAGTGCTCACTGCTCAGAATAAGAAGGTGCTCATATCGAGAGATTTTACTGTATTTATTTTCAAAATATAGTTTTTCTTTCATTTTTTCTTGGTAAGAATTCATTTATAATAGTATCGAAATCACTTTCAACCCTACGTACAATATAAACTAAAAATAAGATGTGAAAATGGCTGAGTGCAGACAAGATTTAACACCTATATCCACACTAAAGATGATTGCACCGATGTTGCATCACCAGTTTCACTTAATATAACTGTTTCATTTATATTCACAATAGTTGTATTCATAGCTAAACTATTACATCTATTGTATTTCTTCTGATAATGGAATTTCTGGTTATTTTTGTGAAATAATAAGAAATTTTACATTTGTCAGATATTTAGCTAAGAGATTAGAAGCTAATCACAAGAATTGTAAAAAAACATAAAATAGAGAAGGCGGATAGGCTTTTGCTTTCTATCGTAGATCAAAAACAAAAAGAAGAGTAGTCTTCGTATTTCTTCAATTATATAATAATAAAAAATCAATCTTCAGCTTCTATAATAAAAACTGATGTCAGAGATATGTGGCAAAAGTATAGCTATACAGATAGAATAAAATAAATTTCTAGCACTGTGTATTATTCTCTTCGTATCAACCATCAGTATAGAGCAGCGGCGCGAGCAGCACATTGTGAATGGTAGGATAGAGCGCTACAACCTTGGAGGTAATCCATGTAATATAGCGCCAATGATGAAGATAATTTTTTTTTTCTTCTGATGCTATAACAGCGCCCGACCTAGTCCATTTATAGTTATGCCAGTAGAATAGGAAGTTATCAGGAAAAACAATTTGCATCCTATCGCTTTGCTGGTGCGTAGAGCTCGTCGAATTGGTTCCGGATCCAGACCCGACTGGATCCGAGTCCGACAATTTTGAGCCCGATGTGCTCTATTAGTGCGTCGTCTATGCTCATTCCTTAACGCAATTGATAAACAAGTGACGAGCGCTCTCTATATACAAAATCGTTTCCATTTATTGGTCGTTCTTTGTCCACTCTTCGAAAAATGCAACGTTAACATAGAAAGAACAAAAAAAATCATCAATGATTTCCCATAACTACAAGATTTTCTTTTTAATCCGACGATCATCGTCCAATAAAGAGCTCCAAATAATTTTATGCAAATGAAATTTCTTCTTTAATTCAATGAAAAATACAAGTCATTATATCGTCAATTTAGACGATAAATTCCATTCCACACGAAATTCAGTTTCGCTCTATCGGGTATGATCTCGAATATGAATTAATACTTATTTAATTTTTTTCTTTTTTTCTTACTAAAATAATTTAGTATTGGCGTCAATTACATAGACAACAACGTGTATTTATCATTGCTGTTGTTTTGTTATGTATATTTATTTATATTGGTTATCGTTCACATTCAACAGAAAAAATTGTTAAACTTCTACCAGAATATCATCGACAAGAAATAAGTAAAGAAAAAGAAGCTTGGCAACGTAAACAAATTGAAGTAAACTTAATTATTAATAATAAAATTTACAAAAAAAAAAACGATTTATTTGTGTTTAGCAAGCTCAACCAATTAAAGTCAAAGTTCAAAAGCAAATTTTTTCGGGTAAGAATAAGTTGTTTGTTTTTGTGGAAAGAATAATTCTTCTAGTTTTACTCTTTAGATCCAATAAATGAACGTCAAATAGCTGTACGAGATGCTATGCGACATGCTTGGAAAGCATATCGAACTTATGCATGGGGTTATGATGAATTACTACCATTATCTAAAGTATCTTCACCATGGTTTGGTCTTGGTTTGACGATTGTTGACAGTATTGATACATTATATATAATGAATATGACTGAAGGTTTATGTCTATATACAAATTTGATAATCTATATATATATATATATATATTTTTTGAATTTGAATTCCAGAATATAATGAAGCTCGGGAATGGATTGAAAAAAGCTTTGATTGTGATTCAAATTCAGCTGATAAATTTAATTCACATTTCGAAATCACGATACGAATATTGGGTGGTTTACTTAGCATTTATCATTTAACAGCAGATGAAATATTTTTAAAACGTGCAGTAAGAATAAATTGAAAAAGAAAATTATATAAATTGAATTTTAATATATATATATTTTTCTTTAGATTGAATTAGGTGATCGACTTTTAGTCAATTTTAATACACCAACAGGTTTACCATTAGCTGAAATTAATATTAAACGAAAAGCCGCTAGTGGTTATCGGTTAGATTTATTTATTATAATTTAAATTTTTGTCTTTTTTGTATAATAAATTTTAGATGGACTTCAGATTCAGCTTTATCAGAAGTTGGTACTGTTCAAATCGAAATGCGTGATTTATCACGAGTTAGTGGTGATAAAAAATATGAAGTAAGCTTCAATTAATTGAATAATAAGAATTTTTTTATCTTTATTATTAGGATGCAGTTGATAAAGCCTCGGCTGTACTTCATAGTCAATCAAAGAAAGATGGTCTTGTACCGATATTTATTAGTCCACTAACTGGTCGATTTTCAGGTGGTGTTGTATCATTTGGTGCACGTGGAGATTCTTATTATGAATATTTACTCAAACAATGGCTACAAACAGGACAACAGAGACCTGTGTAAATATTTTTTTCATTAAGTAGAACTTATTGAGATTAGAGAAAATCTAAAATTTCATAATGAAAATATTCTTTTTGGTTAACTTTTGATGCCTCATAGAAAGATAACCATGCCAACTGTAATTCACCGTTTGAACTCATATTGGACCCACACGGAGATCTCGGTAAGACTAGAAAAATTCTAAAAGGATTCGTCGACATGAGTCTCTGGTTCACTGGAAAATCATGTAACAAAATTTCAACATGACATTTTGCCTATAGATAGGTTTAATGACCCTTAGAATATCCTGAAAGTTTCAGTCCAACAGAATGTTTATTTGTTGAGATATTGAATTTTCAACAAATAGTCGCCTGCCACAGACATGTCAGAAAAAACTAAGTTTACTTGAAAATTCAATGTTTTGACAATATAACCTTCTGTTGGGCTGAAATTTTCGGGATATTTCAACAGCCATTAGATCTATCAATAAACAAAATTTTAGATCGAAATTCTGTTATTTGATTCTTCAGTAAATACCTAATAATAGATCGACAACTCAGTAAAACAGTCATAACTTGTCTCCAGAGACTCATGGACACGACTGCTTTTAAGGTTTTTGCGAGTCTCCCTTGTGGACTCAGCATGAGCTTACATGGCGAGTTACAGTTTTGGTTAATTCCCTCATAAGACGTCTTCACTGGCAATATGTCTGATTGAAATTCAGATGTTCGTTTTTTTTTATAATATACCACAAAAAAGTGGTTTACATTGAGTAGAAAATGAAGATGAAATATGCAAGAGAATAATTCATTTAAGATTTTGTCAAGTCTTTCATGATGGAGGAAATTCTTCAAAAAATTTTTATCATTTGAAACCATTCTTTCATGAGCTCAATTTCAATTAAAGTTTTGCTGTGACTTTTAATATTCGTTTTCTTATCATTTCTTATTATATCGAAAAAATTAGTTTACATTTAATTTCTATTTATTATAGTTTTTGGGAAGATTGGATCGAATGTATTGGTAAGTTAAATGAAATAAATGAAATAATTAATCATTTTTTAAAATTCATTTAGAGGGCGTACGTAAACATCTTTGGCGTTTAGCTTATCCAGAAAAACTTTATTTTGTTGGTGAATTAACTGGCATGTCAATATTTTCACCAAAAATGGTAAATAAAATAATTTCAAGTTAAAATTTATATTTATATAAATTTTAATTAGGACCATTTGGCTTGTTTTCTTGCTGGTAATATGGCTCTTGGTTGGTATTTTCAACGTAATTTAACATATCTTCTTGATATGGCAAAAGATTTAACCAAAACTTGTTATCAACTGTATGCTAAACAAGAAACAGGTCTTAGCCCTGAAATAGCTTATTTTAATACTGATCCCCATTTAAATGGAGAAACAATAACTGTTCGAGTATGTTTAACTTGGATCTTTTCTTTTTTTTTTTCTTTAAATATTATTTATTTTGTTTTTATTTCAAGGACAATGATGCACACAATTTATTACGACCAGAATTAATTGAATCTTTATATTATATGTATTATTTAACTGATGATAAAACCTATCAAGATTGGGGTTGGGAAATATTTCAATCATTTGAAAAATATACTCGACAAACTGATGGTTACTCATCAATAAATGATGTGCGACATAAAGATAATGTTCGACCACGTGATAAAATGGAAAGTTTTTTTCTTGCTGAAACATTAAAGTATCTTTATTTACTTTTTGATAAAAAAAATTTATTTTCATTTGATCAATGGTTATTTAATACAGAAGCACATCCTCTGCCTATTTATAAAAATTAATTTATAGACAAACAAGAAAACACAAGAAAAATTTTGTTGTTTATTTTCGTCGATCAGTCTGATACGTTTGTTTTGTCTTTTTTTTCTTGTTTGTTTGTTTGTTTCCGGTATTAATATTTGTGATTTTTCGATTTTTCGATAAAAAATTACACACTTTCTTGTTTTGTCATGTGATTATTTCACATGATCTCATTTAGAATATTAATATAGAAGAAAAACGAAAAAGCAAACCTTATCAGACAGTCGTCTTATTTTGTTTTTATTGACTTGCAGAACAATAAACGTCGTTTGTTTGCCTTTCTTCCATTCATTATTTTTGTCTTCGACGTCGTTTTTTACAATCATATACGAAATTAATCATGTCGACTGAACCACAGGTAAATTTTTTTTTTTGATGAAATAGACTCCAATAATTTAATTGATTTAGGATGACAATCAATCTAAACCAGAACCTGTACTCAAACCATTTTTTCCTAAAGCTACAGAAATTCTTTTTTATACAGGAAATACATTGGCATTATTCGAATTAGTAAAAAAGGCAAATTCTTCTATAACTGACGAAGTAATTACGTTCTAAAAAATACGTATATATATTTAATTATTTATATATAAGGTTATTGAATATATGTCATTGATGTTACAAGCAATGATAAAAAATACGGATGTAAAAAAATATCAAGTATAATTTTTATAAAAATATTTTTCTTAAACATTTAAAACAAAAATTTTTATATAGGAAGAAAATTATGTTAAACTCGCTTCTGTTCAAGATGATAATAATTCGGCAGCTAATAATGGAACAACAGCAGGTGTGCCTATTGATCAGGAACAGTTGACAAGAGAAGATTTAAAAATTTCAGTAAAAGTTTTTCTTCGTTCATTAGCACCTGAAGTATTAACACATACAATTAATACAGGTTTGTCTGTATCTAGATTTAATAAATAAAATAAAAAATAAGATTTTTTTTTCTTATTTTATATCTAGTTCTAAATGAATTAAAAGAAAATTATTTAGAAAGTTTTATGATATCATTACCTAATTATGGTTCACAATTAACATTACAGGAATTTATGCCATTATGGAATATAATTGAAGATTTTATCGATAAACAAAAAATTTTATCAGCAGGAGTTTGTGATTTTATGCTTCCACTTTTATCTGATTTATATGATCGTGCAAAGGTAATTAATCCTAATGGTTCAGTTTTCAAACCTTCAATTAGCTAAATAATTGGATAGGCCTCTATCATTGATTTCATTAATCACGTATTCATGCAAAACGTAGACTTTATGTTTTTATTCTTTGCTAAAGAATTTTGTGAAACTTGATATAAAAGGAATGTTGAAGTATGGAGGCAAAAGTTTGAAACACCCTCCTCTCCCGTAGCTGCTAGTCAATGACGATCATAGATTATGACAAATGTAACTATGAAAACGTCACAGACCGTAGCAGATGGTGTTGATATACGATCACCGATTGAATATCAATGAAGTCTCGTGAAACTACTTCCTTCGTGCATGTACGCAAGATTAAGCAAAAGAATGATGATGAAATGTGTCCAAAAATAGATAGAATCAAATACGTTCCCTGGATTAGTAAGAGCATCTATATCATGTTTCACATTGTAATCCGGCAGGAATTGTGCTAACAGCTTTTTTTTTAATCAAAATTATAAATGAAAATTATTTTCGATCGTTTTCATTGTTCTTTGTTATTTAGCACAAACCATATGCGAATCAAATCAATTTAGGTGTATGTTGTTCTATTCCAGAAGAACTTAATAAGTATGTTAAAGAAAATAATATTCAACTTCTAACACATAGTGATCCAATTGGTAAGAATTTTTGAATATTAATTGATGAATAATTAGTTTTATTTTTTATTTTAATAGATGTTATTAATGAATCAGATTTTCAACAAACTATTCGTGAATATTGTCATGAATATGATGCACTTAATTGGAAACCATGCTCGATTGTTCGTTATACTTCTGTTATTGCTAATCGAGGAATTATTAAATCCAAAGGATTTTTTATTTATGCTAAACGTGAATTACGTATGACGGAATAAACGAAAATGAAAATGGCTCGATTCAATTACTCTTTTTTTTTTTTGTATTTGTCGATTGTTTTTATTAAATGATTATCACAGTTTGCCGTGTTTTTTTTTGTTGTTGCTCACTCTAATATATTGTCGATCTGACGATTTTCTTTTGTTTTTTAAGCTCGCTAGTAGCTTTTACAAATAACTTTGTAACCAATGATTTGTGTTTTTTTTTATTTTCTATGGAAGTGAATTATTTTGTGTGTATTGTACACGCCAGTTTAATGGTTATTTGTTATTAGATAAAAAAAAAAATTAAAAAATTGCACCAATCAAATGAATTGTCTTTCATATTGAAATATTTCGTTTGCTACATTGTTCATCGAGCAGTTCGTTTTGATAATTCGATTGATCGATTGTGAATGAACTATATTGTGTCTCGAAAAAAGATTTTATTTAAGTAATCTATTAGCTATAAAAGAATAATGATTTTACTATTCTATATATTTACAATCATGTTTATAGTTCGGTTTAATCACCTTTAGTCTATTTAGCTTAAGACAAAGTGATCAGAAAACAATTGACGAATTATTGTCATACAAAAAAAAAATATAAATGATTTTTGAGAAAATTTTTCTTCGAGTATTAATTGATACCACACATTTAAAACAAACAAATATTACATAGACATATTCTAGCAATTGTAAGAAAAAAATGAGATAATTTAATACATGAGATTCGAATTTAACTTTCTTTTTTCTCAGTTTTCTTCTCAATAAGAAACAATTGAATAATACCAAAGGCTTTGTTTTTTTTTCTTTTTATTAAAAAAGAATCAGTAATCCTTTTGGCTGTATATCATATGATGAAAAGCATTATAACATACATTTGAAATTTTACGTTTGTTCTACTAGTAAATAAAAAGAATGTCATCAACTTTTCGTTAAGACAACTTATAAATGTATTTCAAAAACAGATAAATGTCAAGAGATGAAAAGTAGGATATGTTGTATTGAATACGTGTCAACAATATATATATGACACAAAAAGATTAACGAAAGCAAAACTAACTATTCCAAAAGAAAAACAATTTATGAAATAATTTAATGATGTACTAATGTTACTAGCATTTAAAATTGAAATTAAAGTTAAAATGATATTAAATAATTATACAGAATCTTTTCTTTTTAAGATGAATACAGTAATGAAATAGAATTCCATTTTAATATTAATTACATTCTAATCAAAGTTATTTATTCGAAAATGCCTAAAACTATTGTCAAAAATGTCAAAAAATTAGTAAGATTCAAGACAAGTTTGAGAAATAGATAGAATAAGATTTGATCTGTCATATATCAGGTTAATCAAATAAAACAGAACAGATAAAATGTCTCTGGACATAATTTGATCTTTCATTGCTGTTTTCTACATTTCTAATGTCATCTGTCAGCGACAAACGACATGTCAAGGCAAGAACTACAACAAAAAAAAAAGTAAATAAATAAAAGACGATATATTCGAAACATTTGTTACAAAACTTCATTCTTAATATCATTATATCATACTAATATAATATTCGGAATCAATAATCGATCTGAATAATTGAATTGTTCAAATGAAAATTGATAGAAAAACAGAGAAATTCTAAGTATTTGATTTAGTTTATTGATAAAGATTAATCTCTAGTGCAATAGAATTTCTTAATTAAGACACATAATATATAATTTATTATTAAGCAGACCCTATTAAGAAACGGGTTCTCGAATGATGTTGTCGTTCACTTATATTGCATGACTCTATGAAAGATATTAATATTCTGTTACATAAAACAATCCAATTCTATTTTATAAGAGTTCCTTTTTTTCTTCCTTTGTTCTTTTCAAAGTAAAGTATCAAAGAAAAGAAAAAAGTTATTATCAAGACATTGATAAAGTGTATGTCAATCAAATTAAAAGTTAATTATGATTTGGACTATGACCTTTTATCTAAATATTTATTTTTAATAAGAGATTGTGTTATTATTATTGAGTTTCTTTTATATCTAAAATTCTACTAATGTCGTTTCTTTGTTAGTTTCTTTTTATAACAAAATAACATATTAGAAATACTATTATTTCATTGCTTTTTTGTGGCAAATGAAGCAATCAGATATAGAATACAATATGAGAATTAATAAAAAGTTTCACAAGTTCGGCAAATAGTCGATATTCATTTTCATCAGCTGCGACAGTAATATTGAATTTGTATAAAATTAGACGATTATCAACTGACGTTAACTGAAGTGTTCTCGAAGTATTTTATTGATGCAAGTATCATAAATGCATGTCGATTATAATGACGAACTTCATAGATATACAAGGGGATTAAGTTGGCTCTATTGTATATTTGATTGTCTTGTAATCTAATAAAATACGATTAGAGTAATAAAAATATATTTTAAGACGCAGTAGCTACTATCAGTTGATCTAATTAAAATTATTATCGATAGAATTCTATTCAGAAAAAAATTTCAAAAAATCTTACATTGGATATTATGAATCAATTAGAAGTTGACAATATTTTCTTAAAAAGCAAAACACGATCTGTTTAATGGACCTTTTATTAGATCATTTAATAAATAAATATACAACAAAAAAAAAAACAGTGAACCAGAAAAAATTAGATAATCAAACCTATTCAATTCATTCTAAAAGCATTTTCGAAAAATTTTTTTTTTTGCATAGAATGATAATCAAATAGAAGATTGATGAATGTAGATAAACAAAAATGTTATATTAAAGAATCATAATAATCAGTCAATGAAAAAAAACTAACGATAATAATTCTTAGTACGTATCAACATAAGAAAGAATAAATCCATTAGTAGACATTGGTAAACATGAAATAAGTTCATTGACTTATTTTTAAGACAATATTATTTTCAAAGAAGTAACAAAGTCTCTTGCTTGTCATAAGATAGACATAATAACTCTTTTGATGACACTTCAATGGCTTCAATGGAGCATAGTTCTTTCGTCTGTTTTCATTATCAATATATCTTGCCATTAATATTCAATGTTTCTTGTCTTCCTTACTTTCTTTGACAAACTAGCATTTTTTTTTAATATTTGTTAATGCTGAGATTTTATCGAAACGACAATGATGCGCCAACAAGGTCATTGAATTCAAATAGGATTGTCATTCGCATTAATACAATGGAAGACAGCGGCAAATGAATATTGTACCAGTTCTTTATTTTCTTTTTTGCTAGCTTTCATCTTTCACTCACAATTACGATGAGAAGCTTCAATAATAAGAACGATAAAAAAAAAAGACGAGAAGAGAACACATCTATAAAGTCATGATGCTTCCCTTTCTTCTTATTGCCTCATTTTTTCGCCGTATACTCTATAGGTCCGTGCTAGTCCTATATGTGTTTAGCATGTTTGTTGTCATGTGCCAACCTAAGAATACATACGGAAAAGCTAGTGATTATTATGCTTTCTTTCTCTTTCTCTATCTATCTTTCTCTCTGTCTATTAGTTAAACGTACGGTACACGCACGCACATACATACACAATATACATAGCTATAATCAAACACTAATCAAATGTCATAGCTCGTCATTCATCATCATTGCCAATCTAACATGTATATTTAAAAGCATGCAACAACTCCTACTAAACTGAACCAAGCCCTACGGATGGCAATTTACTGCGTGATTTCATTTAACTTTTGTTTATCAACTAGGAATTTTTCTTTGAAGATTGTATAATTTAGATTTTCTTAAGTCTATTGATAAGACTTTTCTATCTTTTTTCTTTAGATATTGTATTTCTATTTGTATATCTATCCTTTTTATCGATTTGCAATGCATTAACTCGATTACTTTGTCTTTGAACCAGACTAATTACTACAAATAGCATACATATTCGTCATTGTACATCCATTTATCGTTATCGTTCTGCTATCTATCAATAAACAAAATACAGCAAACAGGACTAAGTTATTTGATTATTGAGAAAATCAGTAGACTTCTGAGCAAGCAAACAGTCGAACGTGGCAGCTGCTTTTTTAAAACAGAGGTTCTATTGGTAGGCTGTTGATTACTTTTATGTTTGTATCTCTTATGCGTTCTTACTATTTTTCTTTGATTTTCTTTTTTTATTGACATCGGCACGTTCGAATAGGTGTGCATGTGTATTCTCCCGGTGACAGACAGATCCCCGTGTATAAATGTGTGCGCACGTCGTGTTTCATTTATTCTTTATCAAAAACAAAAAAGAAAAGAAAAAAAATCAATACACATACTCGATTCTCGCTGGATTCACTCCCAATATAAGTTTTGGATCATCTAGTAAGCAATAAATATGTTACAGTCTATTGGGAATCGATGATGTATCCAATCAGGCATACATCTTCATTATAGAGGGCTAATTATCACCAATCGTATAGCCTCTAATGTTGCGCATTCGGTGTTAACAATAACAGTGATGGTGTAAGCAGCGAAAACAATCGTGTCGTAAGAAAAAACTTTTTTTTTTTGTTTGAGTTTATCTTTTTCTTCAAGTGTATTTTAACCGATTGCTGAAGACTATGTATAGAACACATTGTAGGTGCGGAGAAAGTTGGCCCGTTCTTTTGTTTTCTTTCTCTCATTTCTTTTTTCCGTTATGGTAAAAAAAGTTAAGACAAAAAAAATTGTTTTTTTTTTGCGGTTGGCCTAGTCATAACGCATGTCATATTTTTCTATTACAAAAGAAAATCAAGATGATAGAAACACTAGAGCTAGATGAGGCTTGAAATGATAATTCTGTTTAGGAAAACCCAGAGGGCGTTGACTTTATTATATGCTGAGAAAAATTGTCAACGCTTGATTATTGTTTACTGTTGCTTTCTCTTGTTAAAAAAAAAACCGAGGCAACAGTAAGAGCATCATCAAAAAAATTTGGTTTCTAACGGAAGAGGAAAGAGAGGAGACGAAAGAAACTTGAACAATAACGAGCACAAAATTAAACAATAACATCATTTTGCACATTTTTACTATTATCAGCCCGAAAAATATGTTTTTCTTATATTTCCAATACCTATTTTTTCCGTTTTCATATAAGGAAGAAAACTAGTCTAGAACAAATATCAAAATGAGGGCAATGTAACAGAAAAAAGCCACATAAGTAAGATTGAAAGAAATTGTTCTGTACGTTTTTTGTAGAAAAGAAAAAAAAGGAGAACAAAAAACAACAGATCGATGAATGACTATAAATGAATGCAGAAACACATGATTCAAGCTAATAGGTATTCTTTACATCTGAATTCAACGAACTAAATTTATTATTAATGCATGCACGATTCCAAAAAATATCACAAATGCTTTTTTTTCGAGACATTATAAGAACGTGCTATGATTATAATTATATTTTCTTTTTTTTTCTTTTTTGCGTGTGTGTGTGAACTTTTCTTCACCGTTTGTTCGAGAAATTCAAAAGGTAAAATACTTATGTTTTCTAGTTTTAATATTAATTTTCATCTAGCATTCAGATTCTCTAGCGACTATTGTTATTGTTCTAAGTATGGATATATAGATGTGTATATGAAGTAGAAAGCAAAAAAAAAGAGAAAATGAGAGAAAAAATGGTTACATAGTAATAATGATAAAAATGTTCTTTTTATTATAAGTGACAATATAAAACACTTATATTGTTCGTTTTTTCTCTTTTATAATTCTAGATATTGATAATACACTATCTAATGACACATATTGAAATTCCTAGTGAATTACCTAGTATTTTACGTAATTTTACATTAAGTGTATTACGTACAAGACCACGTGATATAATTGATCATGCTGTTGAGTATTTTACGCAATTACAACGACAACAAAAGCAACAATCAGAACAACTCATGACAGGCAACAAACCAGTGACGACAGCTTCTTCGTCTTCGTTTTCTTCTACTAGTCAACAACCGCAGCAACAACAAACATCGGATCAAAATGTTATATCATCAGGTTCATAGTTAGCTAATCGCAATTTTTTTTTCATTCTGTCGATGGATTCTTAAGACATTTCCTGATGTGCACGAGTTTCCAGCTTCACAAACAACAAAAAATGTCTCATCATAACTTAGATGTCTCTTTCTATGAGGTTTTATCGATTTTTTTAAAGGAAAATTTAGAATTTACAAATATTTTGTTCGCTATAATGAAGCAAATAAGGTAAAGTCATATAAAGAAAACTATAAACATATATTTATTAGATTCCTCTTTACATTATAAACGGAAACAAACAGCGTTAGTTTTCATTTGCTTGCTTATAATCAACAATCAATGTTTTGCATCAGTCTCGATCGATTCCATATAGGCACTTAGAAAATTGACATCCGGTGTGTATCTATATAGTGTTTGTGTGGGTGTGTGTGCATTCAAGTCATGTCAGACATTATTGTTCATATTTTTTCATTAGGACAAGTACGAGTAGATCTTGTTTTCCGCTTTAAAATGAAAAACAAAGAAGACGAAATGAACTCTTTCATTTATTTCATTTAGATACCAGAAAAACAAAGTCAATTTTATAGATTGTTGAAAAAATATAGAAAATAGACAATAGATGATTGCGTGACATGAATGTAGAATGTATATATATATATTTTTTTTTCCTTATTTCATGTTATAGTCTGTTGATTACTATGGGATTGTTATTCGTAAGAGCAACACTAGAAGAAAACAATATGTCTTTTCATACTCATCTGACATCCATTGCATTTCAATCGATCCTTTGAGGCTTATCAATGAATCATGTTACTTCTCATTATGTAAAAATATACTCGACAAAAAAAAAGAAAAAACAAAAAGATACTATAATATTCAAGGTTTTTGTTTTCCCTTTATTATAAGAAAGACTAAAGCAATAATTTGAAGAAAACGATTCGAAACTAAATATAACGAAGGAAAACTAAAAATGAGATTGTTGTCATATATGATTATAGACTAAATAAATATATTCTCGAGGAGGAAAAGAAATACAATTGATGATGCTTTTTTGTCGATGTTGCTCTATTTGTCTACTCGTCTTGTTTTTTGCGCTAACTAAATTGTGATCGACATCAAAATAAAGCAAAAAAAATGAATAGATCTTTATGGAAATTAGGTAGCTCGAAATATCAAACTATATAACGATTGCTATTTTTTGTTATGATTTAGAAAATATTGCAACTGGAGGAAACTATAACTCAGCATTCGAAAAAGATAAATCAATGACAAGTATTGATACAAAGAATTCAGAAAATATATCAAATGAACCTACATTATCAACATCAACAGAAGAAGAAACAGATAATGAAAATAAAACAAGCGAAGATGATGATGAAAAGGATAACTCATTTGATGATTTTGCTGCTGATGAAGAGCTGCGAGTATGTAAATAGCTTAATTTATGGATAAATTTTTCTTTCTTTTCTTTTCTTTTCTATTGATGATCTAATTATTTGTTTTAGCGTCATTATGTGAAAAAAAATGAATTTCGTCGAGTATCTGTTGCAGCTGAACGATATAATCCCGAAGATGATAATGATTCTGATAGTGAACAATCTCTTGTTTATCCCAAGACTCCTGAACAACGACAACGGTTAAAAGATGCAGTTTGTCATAATTTATTATTTCGTACACTTGAAGCTAAACAAATTGATCAAGTTCTTGATGCAATGTGGGAAAAAACAGTTCGCAAAGGTGAAGTTATTATTCAACAAGGTAAATAAATATTAGTTCTTTTATATTATTAAAAAAAAACCACTAAAACACAAAATATTTTGTTTCAGGTGATGATGGTGATCATTTTTATGTTATTGATAATGGTGTTTATGACATTTATGTATCAAAAGAAGCCGATTTTAGTAAACCAATTAAAGTTGGTGAATATAATCAAACAGGTTCATTCGGTGAACTTGCTCTCATGTATAATCAACCACGTTCAGCAACAATAATTGCTAGTACAGATGGTATTTTATGGGTTATGGGACGACAAACATTTCGTAAACTTGTTTTAAAACATGCATTTCGTAAACGACAAATGTATGAAAATGTCTTACGTGATCTAACTATTTTACAATCATTAACTGATTATGAAAGATCAAATGTTGCTGATGCTTTAATTCCAGTTGAATATAACCAAGATGACATAATTATTAAACAAGGTGATGAAGGTGATCGAATGTTTTTTATTGAAGATGGTGAATGTGATATATATATGAATGATAAATTTCATAAACGTATAAATAAAGGTGATTATTTTGGCGAACTAGCATTACTTAATCATGAACCTCGATCAGCAACAATTATTGCAGCTAGTCCAAAAGTTAAATTAGCTTCATTAGAAGTTGAATCATTTGAACGTTTATTAGGACCATGTATGGATTTGATGCAACGTAATACGTCCAAATATCTTAAATAAACTATTTTACTATAATAATTACCATCATTATTATTGTCGTCATTTTCTTCTTTTTTTTTTCTACATATGTATTGCAAGAAAAAACAATATTTTAAGTGATAGAATATTAGTATTTGGATGTTTTTTTTTCTTTTCAATCAGAGAAAAAAACAAAGAAAATATATAACTTGTCTGAATATTTTGTCTCGAGATAAAACATATAAAAGTGTTGTCATAGAATTGGTTGTATGATGAGGTAGACAACACCTGTCGTTTCTACTGTTGTTTTGAAATGAAAAGAAACAAATGAATTGAAACTCATTGGTAGACAACATCATTTTTCATTAAGAACATTAGTTAACATCTAATACTCTTGATAATATAAACACTCAGACAATTATACTTCTATTGATTACTTTTTTGTTTGTTTACTGAACCTAATAAAAATATATCTTATAAACGACATATTCATTATCAATAAATGATAATCATATATTATAGTTATTGTAAATATTTTAAACCAAAATATCGTTATACGATTGAATAATTTAATGTAATTAATTCTTTTGTTGTATATGCATTCGTGCTTCTCTTAATTAGAAGGGAAATGAGAAATTATATTGCTGTTATTGTCAATAGTACCAATACTGGCGTACTCGTGAATGTGCCACATGTAATTTTTGTGATCAAATTTGAGCATATTCATTATTTTGTTGTCGATTTTCTGTTCTATTCTTGGTTTTATTACTTGTTGTTTTACAGACTCTATTCCGTTGACATCTAAATAAGTCTTTTATCATATCTCAAATTAGATAGATCATATTTCATTCTTGAGACTTCATTCATCAAAATGTTATTATGGCATTATTTCAACAGTTTATATAAATATAAAAACATCGCCATTGATTGTTAATATTGCTACAAAAAAAAATCTCGTAATAAAACGAACGATAATAACAATGAGCTATTCATATATATTGCTAGTTTTTTTTCCTATTTCTTGAATAATTTATTAAATTTATGGAAAAAATTTCGGTTTTTTTTTATTTATCTAATAAATATGAATTTTGCTTGAGTAGTTTTTGCTATTCGTTGTATTGATCTAGAATGTGATTATTATAATTTTATTTAAGATAAATGAAACATATTTTTTACTGAAAAGAGAAAAAAAACCATGGCAGGATGTTGTTATTATTATTGAAAACAAAAAAATCTTTGGTAAAATATTCTATTGCTTAACATGTTGAGAAAAGTTGTAATTGGTTTTTTTTCATATTTGTCTGTTGTTATTCAAGATTTCTTTTAATTTTCTTCTTTTCCAGTGTCAAATTGATGTAAAATAAAGAACTCACTAGATTTACAGTTAACAAAAGTCATAGATTTTCCTTTTGATTAACTTAAATGAAATGCATTTCAATGATTTTTCGAGTAGAATATTAGTTTCAAAGTGTACATATGTGTAGAACATAAAGGTATCAATTTTTTAATAATGTCGTCGTATTATTTATGATTCCCTACCGTGCTCAAGAAAATTTTGAAAAAAAAACCAAAAGAAACGAATATTAATCATTTGTATAAGAAAATAACATGTCGTTAACAACATCACCTATAATGTCAAGGATCGTACAAACATCAAGAAATCCAAATGATTACAATCAAGTTATGATAATTAATCCTAATGAAACGATTAATTATGAGCCATATGCTAATTATCAAACACCAAGAACTACATATCGTACTTATCAACAACCTTCTAAACCAAAATATCAATATACAATTGAGCAGGTTAATTTAATTGACATTTTTTTTTTCTGACGAGGAAAGTCTTCTAACTGATTAGTCAAGACTATGTGCATCATATAGATTTTAATGAACTATGAATAACCAGAAACGAGTTTGGACTCTTAGCTTATTGCTACTGAAATACTGCATTGTTACGTTTTTTGTTTAAGTCAATGCCAGGATCCTACTCAGGAACGCGAGAAAAACTGATTTTCGAATTTCGATTTGAAACTTTGCATAAAGACAGATCTTAATGCGAATAGTTTATTGTGAAGATTTCAGATTTTTTGATCTGTTCCTTTCGTGAAATAAGAAAATCAAATCTGTCGGTGTGTATATCACATTTTACAACAGGTAGAGAATTATTTAACTCATCCGATCAGACCGGTTTAAACAGTCTTTTAGATTGGTGAAAACCCACAAAAACTGACTGGCTTGTTGGATCATTATTAATCGGTAAATAGAAATGGCTTCCAAAAAACATTCATTTTCTTTTTTGCACTCCAGTTTTTACAAATATTATGTTATACTCGTATATATCTGTTAGATTGCTATATATGGCACAAAAAAAAGAGTAACTTACTCATCAACTAATTGCTAAACTCTAAACCTTGAATCTTCTCACTCAGCCTTTTCAAATAAAATTAACATTTCTCTTCTAACGATGATCCAAACCTAGATTTGATCTTTATCAAAACATATATATTTATAAGTTTAACTCCAGTAACACAATTTTGATTGTGCTTCTTTAAAAGATGAGATGTACGGATGAACAGAAGAAAATAAAATTGATAGTTATTGAAATAACACTATTGGATTATTTTGATAAGAACAAGCAAACAAACTTGTTCTCAATAAGTTAACGATCTACATGAAGTATATAGTCTTGATTCAAAAGCGATTAATCAGTTGATGAACTTCTCTTATTAGATATTTTATTTTTCTATTTACTATAGGAAAGTAAATCATATCGTTGTTGTCAATGGTGTCGATATTGGTGTACTCGTAAATGTCCATCATGTCATTTTTGTGATCGAATAGTAGCATGTCCACTTCTATTTTTTATTCTTTCTGCATTATTCTTACTTTTATTACTTACTGCTTTGCTAACTTTGTTTGGTTTACATCCTAGTAAGTTTTATTTTTTTTCGTTTGCATCTCAATTTCTACATTGATCACTTTTTTTTGTCTTGCAGACATTAATTCAGCACGACGTTATTATGGTATTATCTCAACATTATCAATTGTCAATCGTACTAAATATATATATAATCTCGATAGAATTTGCTCTAGAATAAATGCTTCTAATAATTGTTTAGATATAACAACATCGACAGGTATTAATATTGTTGCTACAACAATAATAATAAATCGAACAATAATAACCATGAATTATTCATATATATTACTAGGTTTTTGCTTAATCGTTTATTGTATTTATCGAAAAATTTCTTTTGATACTTTCTAAAATAAATTTTGCAAAATTTTATTTATATTATTTATATAAACATCTATTTGAGTTTTGTATTTGTCAATATCTATAGTAAATATAATCTTATTTCTTGAAAATATATTCTATAGAAAAATTTTTATTTTATCGAATTTAGTTAATAATTCACTTAAATATTTATTAGATAATTTTATTTTGAAAATATTTGATTATTGTCTACATATTTAAATAAATTAGAAAAGAATGAGAAGTAGTGTAGTAGAATTAGAATATATGCTTAAAACTTTTCTGTGACTGTTGACTGTTGAACTATGTCAGTGAATCTTGGAAAGATTCAAAAGTTTTTATTTTAAGGAAAAAACCTCAAATGACACTTTTTCCAGAAATGCCACAAAATTTTATCAAATATATTGGAACATACAGAAAATAATTCTCTACAAAGCGATAAATTTTTTGCAAACTGTAAAGATGTAGTAAAGACTTTTACAAATTCTATCGCCAGTAAAATGACTCTTCATCATAACTCTACCATTTTTTAGCAGATTCACCAAAACTCTCCGTTCTTGTGTTATTTCGTAGAGTGCAGATCACCCTTAAATACTATATATTTACACAACTTATTTTGTGAAACACAATCTAAAAGAAGTCTTGAAGTATATAGAGTACAAATTGAGACTCCTCTAAACACACAGACTGTGACAGAGGTTGTTGACATACCACCAAAGACTGTATATCAATAATGGGTCGTTGTAATGTATTAACCACTTCCTTATTGTATTTCTAAAGGATTAAGTAAAATGAGGGTGAAGCAAGATGTTCTAGAATACATAGAATAAAACAATCTTCCTGTGATTAGCAACACCAGCTACATCGTATTCTACATTTTAGTTCTGGAGGGATTGTGCTAATAGCTTTGATATCTACAGGCAATAGTATTGTCTTCAGAAAAATTCTAAACATATATTCTCAAAGAGCACAAAACTCTGATTCCACTACATTACTTCTCATTCTTTTCCAATGCATTTAAATTATGCGAAAAATAGTCAAATATTTTGTCTAGAAACTTTCGACTCACATCATATATGTAAAATATAAACACTACAAAATATGTTAGTGTAAATTTAATCAAATGCAAAGAAATGTATGATTAATCTTATTTCCATTTTGTTTTTTTTTTCATATCGATGGAATCAAAGAACATAAAATTTGTTTAAAAATAATTACAAATGTAGATAGGCAAAGTGAAATATTAATTATTGACGTTATATCTTTTCATATTATGATGGCAACCTGTAGTGTCCATAATGATTTTGAAACAAGAAAAAATAAAAAAAGAATTCACATCATTTGTGAGGCAAAACAATATGTCGTTAACAACATCAACTGTAACGCCTTTGATCGTACAAAGACCACCAGATGAAACTATTCCTGATTATGTTACAATAATCAATCCTGATGGAAGTGTTTCTTATGAACCTAATACTAATTATCAACAACCAACAATAATTCGTCGAAGTTATGCTCCAGTCAATAGAAAAAAATATCATTATGCTCTTCAACAGGTAGATTTAATCATTGTTTTTTTTTTTTTGGTTATATAATAATTCCATTATTCAATAGGAAGGAAAAACATATCGTTGTTGTCAATGGTGTCGATATTGGTGTACTCGTAAGTGTCCATTATGTAATTTTTGTGATGAAATATTAGCATTTCCATTACTTTGTTTGTTACTTTCGGTTTTATTCTTACTTTTATTACTTGCTGCTTTGCTGACTTTATTTGGTTTACATCCAAGTAAATATTTTCTCATATCTCAAATTCTATAATAGATTATATTTCTTTGTTTAGATATCAATCCATCACAACGTTATTATGGTATTATTTCACAATTATCTATTGTCAATCGTACAAAATATATATATGGTCTTGATACACTCTGTAATAAATATTCAGGTATCAGGAATTGCTTGAATTTGACAACATCAACAGCTATTGTCTATGTTGCTACAACAAATATTATTAATCAAACAATAACAATACATAATTATTCTTATAGATCTTTTATTGTTCTTTGCTGTTGTTTAACAATTTATTATATACATCGTAGAATTATTATGTAAAAAGTATATAGACGTAAAAAGCTTGAATTTTTGAAGAAATAACATATGCACGTATACGTTTTTTCTTTGCTTATACCTTTATTTAATATCAGTGTGAATGTGTAAAAATGAGATACATGAGATTAGATAAATGTAAATTACAACATCAATTGAAGATTTAAATCTGATAATGATCAATTATCAGTTTAAAAAAAGAAAAAAAAAAGCTTCGCCGATTGTAAATCATAGTGCATAGGTTAATCACAAAATTTAACAACAATTAATAAAGACAAATGAAAAGAAAACATAAACAAATGAAGAAACAAAATAAACCGGTAGCTGTATAAGTGCATTGAATAATAGAACAATAGATGTCTTATTTGCTTTTCTTATTTGTGCTTTGAGATTTTTGCTTGGTTTTTATGCTGATAGAAATCTGCTAGAATGATATCAGTATTAATAGAGACCAGAGAAACAAAAAATAATTAAAAGAATATTAATACTTCCCACATAAATACTCAAGGAATGATAGTGAAATAAAAAGGAAAAGAACAAGGAAAATTAAGCTCTGTACAAAACATTTTTTCTGTACTTAATAACGACCACCACGTGTGGATCTATTTGAAGGTGGATAAGCAGCATTATTACCAAAACCACCAGAACTACTCTTGTAATTGCTTATCGGTGTACGAGCATTACCAGCACCTATACGTTGTTGAGTTCCCATTCGATTGGTAGCTGGTGGTGGTGGTGGTTTTGGTTTATTCTGAATATTGACACATTTTGGAATATGTCGTTCAGCTACAGATGGTGCATAGTTACGTCCACAATGTGGACATTGAATATAATCAGGATTCATAGAAGCAGGCGGTGGTGGTAAATCAGCTAGACGACCACCTATCAAATATATTATTGATTATTTTTTAGTTTACATTTTGATGTTGCTTTTTTTTTAATACCTGCTTTCTCATAATCCGATGCTTGTTTGGCATAACGAATAGATCGAATAAAATCTTCATGTTTTTGTCTCCAATTTGATTTAGGAATCTGATTAAAAGGGTCAAAAAATAAAAAGACAAAAGAAAACTTTTGATTTGAAATAATTATAAGAAGTCAATTTTACTTGAGGTTTAGCAGGTTCATTTCGTCCTTTTCCCTTACGATAATAAGATGCTGCTTCTGTTCCTTGTAATCGTTGTTTAGTTGAATCAAATACACGACGTTGTTTTTGAGATTTCATACATGCTACTTCATGTTGTTGTATACGATCACTCGCAAAAGTTCGATTGCACATGGAACATGGATAAAGACCACCACTACCTGACGAACCACTATTTTGAAATGTAGTATCTCCTCCACCACGTCGTGTTGAATAATTTATAGGTGTATCGTCATAGTCATCTAGATATTCGATAAATGAAAATATAAGCAAACATACTGTTAATGCAAACCCTACAGGATTAAAATGTCAAACACGATGTAGTGGCTCTTGCTAATCACAGAAAGATTATTTTATTCTATCTATTTTGCAACATATTACTTCGCCAGGATATTATTTAATCCTACAGCGGCGCAATAAGGAAATCATTTAACGAGACGTTATCGATATACGATCTGTGATTGTATATCAATAACGTCTACCATAAGGATGTGCAGTTTTGATGAAAATACTGACAGTGAGTCTACTATTACATTAAATCTGTGTTCACTGAAACATTGACACAACCATACAGTATGGACATGTCAGGGAAATCCAACATTTCTAGTATACCACGGTCTGTAGAAAAATCTAAATTTTTACCCTTACACTTCAATACTCCTTTTAGATTGTGGTTCACGAAATAATAATAATAATAATCATAATAATAATTAAAATAAAATATATATACCATATGACTCATTTCCTCTTGGTTGAACAGATCGCTCAACCATTCGTCCATTACCACCGCCCGATACCTAAATAGTATAGAATAGCATGAATGGTTAAGTTTAAACATAGAAAAAAAAACACAAACATACACCAATAGGTTTGGATCCCTGACCAGGTTTACAACTTCGAAGATGAACTTGAATACGATCAGAAGCAAACTTACGTCCACAATTATCACATGGAATAAGTTGAGATTTAGATGCTTCATAAGCTGCATCATTGATTTGATCAAGTGAATAATTATTACCACCTATTCGATTTATTATTTTAAATACAAATAGACTTAGAAGAACGAATAATAATAATAATAACTTACTGCCAATATGAACATCAGGTTTACGTGGTGGAGGACGACGTAAATTTGGAGGTAATTTAGCATTTTCAAAATGCCATTTTTCTAAACATTGTGGTTCATGAATTTCAATTGATTGTGTTCCAAATTTTCGTCCACAAACATAACATAGAACATATTTAGGCATAGCTGGTGAATGTCCGCTCCCTCCCTATATCCAATTATATATATCAAGTCAGATGAAAATTGTCTTTGTTTGTTTTTTTGAAACACTTACAGGAGCATCCTTATATAAATGATCATATTCTCCATATCCTTGACCGCCACCTGCTGGTTTTTGTTGTCGACCAGCATTACTACGAGCTTGTACTGGAGATGATTCATCTTCATACCGATTTGTTGATCCTCTATATAAGCGTAATTTTTTCCGTTTAATCCGTAAATAATTATGTAAACATACCGTGCAACAGGTTGCGATGATCCCATTGATCCACCACCACTCGAACCTACATTAACAGGTGCTCGAGCTGCTGTTCGATTATTTGTTGCTGTTGGACGACCGACTTTAAAAAAATTAGAAAATTATTAATAAATTTTTTTTGGAGAATATAACTACGCAAAAAAAAATCTTTTTTTTACCAGGTCGAACGTTTGATCGACTGTGCATCAGTAAAAAAATATATCGTATGAAGACGTTAAATTGACAGGCTTCGAAATTTTATCAAAAAAAAAAGAAGAAAATATATATATGAAAACAAATAGCAAATATTTGTATTCAATAAACTCTTAAAAAATAGAGGATTCTATTTCATCAAAGAAAACAACTAGCATACGATAACCTGATATATAATCGTTGTTTTCAACTGTTAGTTGCATAGCAACTACTTTGAATTTCAATTGATTTGTTATTTTCAAATAGATAATTAATTTATCATTTAGTTTTACTTAATATAAACAAAAAATTTAATCAATTATTTTTAAAATAAATTCCTTAATTATCAATAGAGGGCGTCCTTAGACAAAGTTTAAGTAGATCATTATGCTGAGAGTTTTGAGAATTTCAATAACAAATAAATCTCCATATTCAGTAGAGAAAAAAAAATGATTCATTTGTCAAAGATTTATTTCATTTTATTCTTTGAGTAATTATAATACGTTATGGCAAAAAAGATTTTCATTAAACAAATCTCACTTGATTGATTATGAATAAGAAGATTTTCTACATTGCACTGAATTACCCGTAGAAAACTTTACAAAGCATCACAAATATTTGAATGTAAATCAATGCATAAAAGCGCAACACATGTTTTTATGGTTGTATTAATAATTTTCTGACACATGTCTATTCTAAGACAAACAGCGGCATTTAAATGATAAATGATGGATGGTTGCGCTGTCATTTTTAGTCAAATTCCAATTTGTTATTTCAAAAACAAAAACTTTCAAATAAGACTTATTCTCAAAATTGCGGCTAATAAATTTAATAGTTATTTATCTTAGTCATTGAAGTTTGTTATTATTACTATGCGATATAACTATTTATAGCTTAATATATATTTATATTATTGTAAAAGAAAAACTACCACATTGAATAAAAATAACTTGGTTTCAAATATCAGGGTACGTTTATTTTGCCCACTATTCATACGTTACATAGCCTTCCACATATTTACTTATATGAAGTATTGTTGACTGTCTATTTATTCAACAGAAAGAATATAATCATACGACCAACGGCTAAAATACAAAATTAATGAAGAGTTGTGATTATATAGACTGAATAATATAGAAAGCAAATAACACATGTATATATGGATACCATTTTTAAATAGTTATCACGATAGACATGTCGATTTAGCTTTTATCTTAACAATGTTGTCTTTCCCCGTATTCACTGTACGATAATGATGGCGATGATGATGACAACAACAACAACTATCACTTGTTATCGATTTCGATCCTCGATCATTGATGCTTCTTTTTTCTGTTTCACATATGCCTGGCCTAATTATTGCGTACATGTCTATGCCTCACGTCTCCTTTCTATTTTCTTTTTCTTTTTTGTTCTTGCTACTACTACTATTATTACTACTATTCTTATCATGCGGTGCATAGGATGTATAGCTTGTATGGATGGTAATAAATGCTAGGAAGAATCTTTTATTCATTGATTGTCGACGAATACACATTGATGTTTGAAGAAATCTTTTCTCTTCAATAACCATTGTTTATGACAGCGACAAGTAAATATTTGTACTATAGATAATACGTTTTACTTGTTAGATATATCAAATGAAGCGCACACACCCTTATATATATGCATAGTTAATACCTATATTTGGATGGAATGTATGACACAATAGTGCAAAAGAAATGTGTTTGAAATAATGCTTCTCTTATTGATTTTGTTCATTTATTCACTTTTATAATGATTTCTTTCTTTTTATTCATTGCATTAACGAAGAAAAAAAAGGAGAAGAGAGAAAAAATAACCCCATACAGAAAAAAAAGCAACAAATGCCATGTAAATCGATAAATATAAAAAAAAGAGAGAAAGTAAGCCCGATGGATATAGGAGGAAGAAAAAAGAAAGCCAAATCTATATTTCTATCTTTCTGTCAATCGACCCAATTGAACGAAAAATGTATACGAAACGCAAAAAAAAATCACCTTACTCATCGATTACCTTTATTCATATTCTCGTTGAATTCATTTTCAAAAACAATACTTCTTACTCAACTGATACATTTCACCAAATAAACTATTACTTAATAAATATATATATAACGTAAGCATTTA